ATAAAAGTAATATATTTTTAATTATTTTTAATAAATAAATAAATAAATAAATAAATAAATAAATATTTTTATTATTTTTAATATTATAATATTTTTATTATTATGTTTATTATATTTTATATTTATTAATATATATTAATATAAATTAATTTTACCTTTTTTTTAAAATTTTTTTTTTCTTTTTATATATGTTTGAATTAATTTATTTAAATAATTTTTTTTTAATTAAATTTGTAATTCCTCAACATCTTAAATACATAATTAATAAATTAAATATTTATTTTTTAATTTTTTCTAATTTATTTATTATTTTAATAATTTTTATATTATTTAAATTAATAAATTTTATTATATTAATTCTTTTAATTATTATTTGCCTTTTTAATTTTAAATTAATCATTTTATTTTACATATTTTTATATATTTATTTTTTTATTTTATGTTTTTCAATTTTTTTATAAATTTTCTCATTTTTAATAACTCACTTTATTTTTTTTTACAAGTTCAGCATATATTAAATTTTTTATTTGAGGCTTTACCAAAAATCTTTTAAAAAAAGTATTCTAATTTTATAATATTTTGAATTTCGTCAGTCATATGTATAACTTATTACAAAACTGAAAATACATAAATATGAGATTTCTTTGTTTTTACTTATCCAAATTAATATAAAGTTGGAAAACTATTTTTAAAAACATTGTAAAATATAATTCGAATATTTATTTTAACCCATTAAAATATTATCCATTTTTTTATTTGTATGTAATTTTTTTTTTTTAAATACAATTAAACTCATAACCATCCTTTTTATTATTAAAATATTTTTTTTTAAAAAATGAAAAATATTAATTTAATAAAAAATTAGATTTATATAATTTATTTAATATTTTATTCATAAATCAATATTTTTTCTTTTTTTTTCAGAGGAGTGAAGAGGAGGTTTATTATATTAGAAGTTGAATAAAAGATGATTTTAATGATTAAACCCATTTAATTATCAATTTATATTATGAATAAAAATAGTATAGAAAATAAAATAAAATAAAAATAATAAAATATAAATAATTTAAAAATATATTATTAAATTTTTTTAATGGAAAAAATAAATGATAAACTTTAAAATATCAGTGTTATTTTATATAAAAAAGTCAAATTGAAATGTTAAATTAATACATAAAAATAAATATATATAAATTTAAATTTAAAAATTATATTAAAATTTTAAAAATATAAATATTAAAATAAAAATAAATTATATTTATATAGTGAATATTATAAAAATATTTATTTAATAATATAAATATTTTTAAAAATAAAATTAAATAGAAATTTAATAATATAAGCTAATACATAATTATTATTTATTGAAACAATATTAAATAAAGAACAAAAATATCTTATAGTTATTATATAAGAATTAATAATTGTTAATATAATATAAAGCAAAAATAAATTGATTATAAAATTAAATATCAATAAAAATTAAATTTAGTATATTGTAAAAAAATTATGAATGAACATAATTATATATTATAAATAAAAATAAAATTATTGAAAAAAATTATAATATTAATAAAATAAATATAACTTTCATATATATCAATAAATTTATATATTTCTAAAATTCTTTTCTAATACTTTCATATCGGCTTAAATTTTTGCAAGTTTTCAGGGCAATTAATTGACGAAAGACATGGCCCAATAGATTTTAAATGTATTTCTAGATCTTTTAATTTGCTATTAAGTAAATAAATTAAAATATAATCTTAAAAGAAATCTTTAGAAAGTTCTTTAAATGTAATTTTAAAATTTCTTTTATAGATATCATCATCTACATAAATAGTCCAACCTTCAATAAAATCTTTTTTATTTTCAAGTCTAATTTCTTTTTTTATCCATCTTTAGAAAAGTTTAATAATTAGCTCATCTTTTTTAAATAAAGATTATAATTTTTATTAGAAATGAGAATGATAAGTAATAAATTTTCTAAATATGTTTCCGAAATTTTTAAAAATATTTCTATGTCGGCACTATAAATATTTAGTTTTATTATTTATCCTTAAAAATTAACATTCATTTTTTATATTTTCTTAACTTTCATCTAAACTTATACTGCTTTTCTAATCTTTTTAATATTCGTAGTTATTTAATTTAATTATTGAAGGCGGTATAAATTAATCAAATTAAATATTCTCTTATTTACAAATGCCATTTTTAACCATAAAATGTACATTTTCAACATTTTAATTCTAATTATTATTTAAATTATTATTTAAATTATTATTCAAATTATTATTTAAAATATTATTATTATTATTTGATGTATTATTTATATAATTAATATTATTAATGATATTATTGTTTCCATTATTAAAAGTATTATTATTATTATTATTATTATTATTATTATTATATTATTATTAAATTATTATTATATCCTTATTATTAATATATTATATTCTGAGGATATTCATAATTTATTATATTATATGATGGTCCTTTTTATATAACATTATTATAGTAACTTTATTAATAATTATTAACATATGGTTATTATTAATAATTCATTTATGTAAAGAATTAATTATACATAAATTAATCAATATAACTTTATTTGTTTTCTTAGTTTGAAGAATATTTATTATTTTATTATTGATTTTCATAAGCATAATCATTGTTTTCTTTATTGAAATTATTTTTTTAGAAATTATTGTAATTCATTTTATAATATATTTTTTATATTTTTTTTTTGTTCTCTTTTTTTTTATATAAGTTTTTTATTTTTATTAGTTAGTTCTTTTTTTTATAAAAAAAAACTTTAAATTAAAAATAATAATTTTATTTTAATATATTCTTTTTTTAAATATAAAATCATTTATTCATATTTTTTTTATAATATAATTTTTGTATATATATATTAATATATTATATATATTTTTTTATCTAAAGAAAATCATTTTTATTTTATAATAATTATAATAATCTTTAAGTATTAAAATCAATGTTATTTATTTAGACAACTAAAAATATATTTATTTAATTTCCTTATGATATTATAATGAAATTTAAATTAATAAATTTATTTTATTAAATAAATAATATAAATACTATAATTATATTCTTTTACAATTATAAATTTAAAACTATATCAAAAAATATTTATATATTGAAAAATCTTAAAAAGCATTTACTATTGATTTATATAATTTATAAAAAAATAAGCCAGAATGAGCATTAATTTAATTATTATTATTAATCAGAGAAATATTTAAAATTTAATTTTAGTATTAATTAAAACTATTAAATTTTATAAAAAAACTAAATAATAATGTAAAAATATATTATATAGTTTTTTAGTAAAGATATTTAAAATCTAAATTTAAAAGTTCAAAATATTTTTAATTATTATTTTGATATTAATTTAATTAATTTAGAAGTAAATTAAAAAATAATTATATTTAAAAAATTATTTATTGATTAAATGCATTTTATTTATGAAAGCAGGTATTAGTTATTTATAAATAACTAAATAATACTAATGTTTATTTAATTAATTATTTCTTCATAAAAAAAAGATTATTATGCTTATTAATTTTAAATATGTATATATATATTTTTATAATTATATATAATTTATTTTTAATATATATTAATATATATATATATATATATATATATATATATATATTTATTTATATTTAAATAATAGAGATAAATATAAATTAATATATTCCATATATTTGATAAAAGTGTTAGAAAATAATTTTTAGATTTTGATATAATTGTAAAAAAATGTAAAAATTTATAAAATTAAGAATTGTAATAATTATTAAAAGATATTTATTTTAGTTTAAAAAAAAAATAATAAAAAAATTTAAATAATAAAAAAAGAGAAATATTTAAAAATAATATATATTTAATTCTAATGTTCACAGAAGATATAACAGCAATAGTTGTTGATGTTGGAAGTTTATCATTAAAAGCAGGTTATTCTGGCGAGGATACTCCCAGATTAGTGATGCCATCATAAGTATGCATAAACAGAGAATAAAATTAATATTATGTTGGTGAAAACAAATTAAATATTCGTCATGACAATACTGATTTAATATATACATACAAAAATGGTTTAGTATAAGATTTTGATGCTTTCGAGAAGCTTTTGTAAGATGTATATGATAATTAAATAAGAGTATCTCCAAATGATTATTGTTTATTAATGAGCGAGTCTTCAATCCATAATACTGAATAAAGAGAAAAAATATGTGAGATAGCATTCGAAAAGTTAAATGTACCCAATTTTTTTATTGTAAAAAGTGGGGTTCTTTCTTGTTTTTCTTCAGGACGTTCTACTGCATTAATATTAGATACAGGTTTATCTTTTATTTTATAATATAAATATATTTTTTTAAACAAAAAAAATTAAAAAAAGGTGCTTATTCAACTTATGCAATACCAGTTCATGATGGATTTGCTTTATAAAAATGTGTAGTAAAATTTGATATCGGGGGAGAATATTTAACAGATAAAATACTCAATTATATTGAAAAAGAGGAAAAGAAGGTTGTTTAACCTCGCTACGCTTTATAATTTGCAAAAGACGTACCAAAAAAAATTGAGTAATATTTAAATTTTCCTAATACATTACAATCATATGAATTATATTGTAAACATCAAATAGCAAGAGATATAAAAGAAAACATTTGTAGAGTAGATGATAAAGGTTTAACAGTTGGAGAAATGTAGCTAGAAAGAACTGAATATGAACTTCCTGATGGAAACTTTATTCATTTTGATACTGCTAGAAGCAAGTTTTCTGAATATTTCTTCTCACCGTTTGAAAATAGTGATATGGCGGAAGAAGACAGTCTTAAATTTAGAGGAATGCATCATATGGTATTAGAAGCTATAAATTAATGTGATATTGATATAAAAAGACAACTTTTTAATAATATTATACTTACAGGAGGAAACTCTTTACTTTCAGGTTTCAGCTCTAGATTATAAAATAAACTTAATGATATTTCTCCACCTAATTCTAAAGTTAAAATGATTGCTTATCCTTCTTCAGTTGAAAGGAAATTTTCTTCTTGGATTGGAGGATCTATATTAGCTTCTTTGGGTTCATTTTAATCTCTTTGGATTGGAAAATAAGAATATATGGAACATGGTAAAAGTATTGTTGAAAAAAAATGTAATTGATTTTTTTTTTTTTTTTAAATATAAAAATAATAAATATATAATTATTTATTTATTTCATTACATATTTCTATTGATTAATATTTTATTAAATTATATGTGATTTTAATATTTTAAAAATTAATTTTATTTGATTATTTCTTCATGTCCTTTGTCTTATGAATTATTTTTTTCAGCAGCCAATATTAATTTATTGATTTTCTTAAATTTCTCAACTGAGAGTTTTTTTCCTTTTTTAATTTTTTTGTTTATTTTAGGCATTATAAATTTATGTAATTATTCATCTTACTATTAATTCACTTCTTATTCGAATCTATGAAATGGCTTAAAGAAAATTTACTTTTTGGTCATATAATTTATTCTTGGGAAAAGACATAAATTACTAATGCTTTTATTAAATAAATTTAAAGTTTTCTTAATTTCCCCTTCAGTACTCCAAAATATTATTAAACCGTCTTTTGAAGTCGCTATTATTTATTAATCTTCGTCATAAAATTTAAGATTTGTAATTTCTTGATTGTTTGCTTAAAAAGAAACTTTTTCTTCTTCTTCATTTTCGATATCTATCTTATGTATATATCCATTTGTGCATCCTGCGTAAATAAAAGCTTCCTAATTATCTATTTCTAAACAAGTTATTTCACTATCCAAAGTTATTTATTTTAATTTACAACCCTTATTTAGATCCCAAACTTTTAAATATATAAATAGTTTTATATTAATATTTTTTACTAATGATAGTCTTATCACTTCCTGCTGTGTATAATCTACTTATACCACATTTGCTTTGTTAAAAAGTATTTATTTTCTCAGTATGTCCAATAAGTGTATATTTGCTTCTTACTTCAAAAATTCCATTATTTAAATCAACTTTAAATGCTGCTTAAGGAGCAATAAGTGCTGAAAGAAAATAAACATTACAAATTCCATCATCTGCAGCTGTAATTATTAAACCTTCATCCAAAGAAAATTAAATGCAATTAATTTTTCTTTGATGAGCTTTGTGTTTTTTCAATAATTTACCTGTAAAGGTTTCCCAAATATATATATATCCGGAAACACTTGCAGCAGCAAAATATAATTCTGAAGGAGAAATTTAAGAAGCTGTTAATTTTTCTGAACAAGAAATTTTTAAAAAACTTTCTTATTTTCCATATTCCATATATTTAGTAATGTTTTTTGGCTCTACATTCCTAAAATATTTTGAAATTTAGGAGATACACAAAGCGTATTTTTTAATATTTAAGATTAATCGTCTGTATATTATTCTAATATACCACGTGTTTTAGGATCTATTAAATATAATTAATTTTGCTCTTCTACTGATAAAAGCATTAGCTCGTTTGAAGGCTTTATTATTTCTTACATTTTTTTTGATTTTAATTTTAGATTATTAATTTTTGATAAAAGATAATAAATAAATATAAATATTTAATATTTGTGTAAAATAGAAAATAGTATATGTATATATGTAAATATATTTTTTTATTTATAATTAAGGAATTTTGATTTCTATTTAAAATGAGCAAATATAGCTTATTTATTCTAAATACAAATAGAGTTTTTTTTTTAACTCAATTTAATTATTCTTTTATCGAATCTAAAAGAAACTCCACTGCATATTTTATTTCTTCATCATCAGTTTATTTATCATTATCAGTTTTTGAATCTATAATAGACTTTTAATATTTGAAAGGAATACCTAAGCTATATTCTTAGAAGCAGTATATTCTGTAAGTTTTTTACGTAAAGTATTTTGAAACCTCATTAATTTCTTTATTTTTTTAAATATTAAAATAAAATTTTTAATAATTAGTTTTTTATTTATTTTTTACATAATCTAGAGTATGCTTTTTTTCTTCTTATATATCAGAAAGAGTTCTCTATTTAGAAATGGAAGCTGTTGATTAACTATCAGAGAATTCTTATTCAGAAAGAAATTAATTTTATTCATAAAACCTCTATGATTTTTTAATATATTTTTATATAAAACCATTTTTTTTAATGCTATTTATTTTATTTCCTGTTTATCTTTAAACCATTATTTTATATTTATTTTGAGGTCTCTTACTTTTATTTATATATATATATATATTATAAATTAGTCATGTAAATATTCGCGATATAAAGAAATGATATAAATTTTTAATTTAGTAAAAATAAAATTTAAAATGATAAAAATAATAATTTCATTTAAATAATATATATAAATAATTAATTTGCGTAATTAATACACGAAATTTAAAAAATTTTCATTTAAATATTTAAATATTTTAATGAAATTAATTTTTATATCTATACTTAATAAGAACTAAATGTTGTAAAAATAAATCATATAAATAAAATATATTTAAAATAGTTATTTTATATTATTATCATTTTATTTCTAACTAATATATATATTAATTATGAAAATATTATATAAAAAATAAATATATCTTTTGTTAATTTTATATAATAAATTTTTTCCTTAAAGATTTTTTTTAAATATTAGATTAATCTTATTATTTTACTTAAATTTTATATACAGAAATATCCTTGATTTTGGTATACTAATATTTTATTAAGACTAATCAATGTTATGTTTAAAATTTTAAAATATTTTTTAAATAAAATATTTTAACATTTATAAAATTATCATTAGTTTTAGATATTTATATAATTAAAAGTTGAATTAAATTATTATTTTTTTTATCAAAAATAACGTTAAAAAAGTTTATAAATTATAATAAATAGTATTAAAATTTAAATATTTATATATTAAAGAAAAATATTTATTAATAGTTAAATATATCTAAAATACATTTAATTCATTTTTATTAGTATATTTTTTTATTTTTTTTTAAATGTCTTTATATTTAAATCTTATTTATAAAATTCATTATATTATGTATTATTTGTTTATTTTTTATTTAATTTATTAATTATTTTATTTTTATTATAACAAAAATAGACCGAAATTTTTTTTAAAAAAATTACTTCCTTTTTAAAAATTATTGATTTTATTTATTTTATTTTCAAATTTTCAGTATCCTATTTTTATATTTCTATGTGTTTAATAATGTTTAAATTATACCCAGCCCTTTTTTTTCATAATTTTCTATTATTTATTTATTTGTTTTTATTTTAAGGACTATTTAAATAGATAATAGAATTCATTTTTTATGATGAAAACTTTAAATATTATTATTAAAGTTTGTAATTTATTTTAAATAATACATTATTTTTGTTTATATTATATATAATTTTTATTTTAATAATTATTTAAAAATAAATTTATTTAAAACATTTAAATAATATTCAGGCTTACATGTATAAATTAAATTGGAAATTCGCTTTATTATTAATTTAATTAAAAATGCCAATGGTTAATTAAATTCGAAATTTGCTTGTATTATTAATTTAATAAAAAATACCAATGGATTTAATTAAAATTTATAAATCGCTTATAAAAACTCCATATCAATTAGAAACTGATTTTCATAATTTATGGCTGAATTTGATAACATTCTTTCTTTTTGTCTTCGAAAAAAAAAAAAAGTTTTAATTTTTTTTGATTAAGTGAAACATATACAATATTTAAACTTATATCATTATTTTGCATATTATTTAAAATAAAAAAAGATATAAAAAAAATATAATTTAAAATAATAAAAAATATATTAATTATGTAAATTATAATTAATATGAATTAAAGAAATAATAAAATATAATATAAAAAAGTAATTATGTAAATTAAAAAATGTATATATTATTTATTTTACTATTTTTAATTAAATAAATATATAATAAAAATATTTTATTTTTTAATAAATATATATAAATTTTAATAATTCTTTTTTTATCTGTTTTCAAATGAGTAATAATAGCAATTTCAAATAATATTTAAGGATACGACCATTAGACTATTAAACAGATATGATAAATATTAAAGAAAATGTTATTACTATAACCGATCCATAATTTAAATAAAAAGAAAATGCTCATTTATTGTCTTCTTAAAAAGAATAAAATTTCAAATATGATAAAATTTTTGGAGAAAATACTTAATAAGAATAAATTTATTAATAGATTGGATAACCCTCTATTGATAATTTATTAAATGGAAATAATTCTTTAATTATTGCATATGGATAAACAGGAAGTGGAAAAACATTTACTATTTATGGAGAAAATAATTCTTTTACCCCATAAATAGATAATAAAAATAAAAAGCAAGGAAATTAAAAAGGACTTGTATTAAGATGTTGTGAATATTTACTTTAAAAAATAAAAGAATTAGAATAAACAAAAGAAATTATTGTAAATATGAGTTTTTCAGATATTTATTTTGATAAAATAAGAGATTTATCTCGTGCATATTTAAATAACGGTTTTATTTATTTAAAAAAAATAATAAAATAATAATATTTATTTATGATATATAAAAAATAGATCCAAGATAAGGAATTAATTTAGGTATTTTATTAAATATAGCAAGTATATATAAATAAAAAAACAAAAAATAAAGAAAAAGAATTAAAATAGTTAGATTAGTAAAATTTAATTTTATACGAAAATACAAATGGTTTAATAATGGCAAAAGATATGAATTTTATTCAATTAGAAAGTCTTAATTAATTATAATAAATGCTTAAAATAGCAGTAAAAAAATAATAATTATTTAAAAAAAAAAAACAATAATGAATAAATAGTTTCAACTAAGAGAAATTCAAGAAAGTAAAGGAAATTTAATATGGGCAAGAGCATAAACAATACTAACATTAAATGTAATATAGAAAGATAAAATAAATGAAAATATACCTTTTAAAAATACAATTATTTAGTTTGTTGATTTATCAGGATCTGAAAGAATTGCCAAAAGCTTAAATGAAGGAAATAAACTATGTGAATCTATATTAATTAATTAATATTTAGCATCTTTAAATAAATGCTTATAGAATATTTCTTTGAAAAATTAAAATCTTAATTATAAAGAAACAAAATTGACTCATTTTCTTTAAAATACTATGAAAAGTAGAAGTCATATTAGTCTTATTGGTCATTTAAATCCAGGTGATAGTAATTTTGATGAGTGTCTTTTTACACTTTAATATTTAGAAAGATGTTCTTAAGATGCACCTAAAATGCTTTAGTTGCCTTCTAATTCTAATGGAAGTTACAATAATAATAATCACTAAAATAGCGAATAAATTATAAAAAGATTAAAGAAAGAAGTTGCCGAATAAAAGGAAAAAATTGATAGAGTCAAAAACGATAATAAAAAGAAATTAATTGATATTTAACACTTATTAGGAATTGAAGTTGATTTTGATGAATTACTTAGTAAATAATTCACTAAAGAATTCGAATAGTTAAAACAATAAAAAGATAGTATTGTTATGCTTGAAAATGTTTAAAAATATAACTAAAATTTGATAAAAAAAATTGAAAAATTACACAAAAGTGTTTAAGATATAAAAAGTTAGGAATTAAAAAAGCATAATGAATAAATGGTTTAAATTAATTTATTAAGAGATTAAATAAAAGATTTATAAGGTTTAATTTTTATCGTTTTTAATATAAATATAAAAAAATATATATATAAATATATATATAAATATAAATATATATAATATGTATATATATATATGTATATAATACATAATATTTTATATTTAATAATTATTTTTTATAAAATAAAGAAAGCTTAAATATTAAAGAAAATTGTTAAAAAACTTAAATGAAAAATTTATTTAAAGATAAATAAGCTGAATAAAAGTAACTTTTTGACAAAAACTCTGGATAAATAGAAGAAAAAGTCAATATTGTGTTTAATTTATAGAATTTTATTTAAAATAAAACTTAAGAAAACCAAAAAATTAATGATATTAAAAAAGGAATAAAATACGAAATTGAAAAAGAACATAAAAATTAGATAGAAAATCTAAAAAAAGAATATTAAGTTTTAATTGATAATACAAAAGCTTAATTTGATGATCTTTTAAAATAAAAAAATGAACAAATTTAAGATTTTATTAAGGAAATTAAGGCTTATAGATAAAATAAAAAATAATATTTAAATGAATTAAAACAAGAGATGTTAGATATGTATGATTAAATTATGTAATATAATTAAGTTATATCTAAAATAGAGGTTTCTTTATTTATTTTTTATTTTTTTAATTTATATTATTTTTAGTCCGGTACTTATACTGGTGGTATAAAATCTTTTAATATTGCTGAAAAAGAAAAACCTATTCTTCCATAAAGATAAAAATATAAAAAGTAACTTGATTTTTGTTATTATAAAATAAAATAATATCAATAGTTTATTCAAAGCTCTAGATTTAAGGTATTCTAATAAGCAAATAGAAAAAAATATGTAATAATCGTAAAATTGTTAATCAAATAATAAAAATTAAAATGAAAGATTAAATTTAGATACAATAAAAAAAATCAACTTAGATAAATAAGAAAAAATAGATGAAAATAATAGAATAGATATTAATATTAATTTGAATTAATTTAAAACCAAAGAAGATATTGTTCATGTTAAGACATTAGCTGAACGATTGAAAAATTCATTATAGTAAATATTACCTTTTTTTTATAAAAATAAATAAATAAATAATTAGAGAGTCTGTAATCAGAGAAAGATAGCTTTCGTAAAAAGTAAATGACTTTGAAAAAATAAATGAAAATTTTGATATTAATTAACTTATAAAAGAAAAGAAGAATTTAAAAATCTTTATTAATAATGCTTAAAAAATTACAATTAAGCAAAAATTGTTTTAGAATCTTAAAAAAGATTGTTAAGTATGCCTAAATATAAAAAAAAATTAAATCAATAAACATATAAAAATACAGAAAAACAAAATAATTAATAAAATTCTCATATTGCTTTACATAAGTCTTAATTTTAATTACCTGTTATGTCACATACTAAATTATGAATAATAATTTTTTAAAATAATAATATATATATATATATATATATATATATATATATATATATATATATATATATATATATATTTAAAAATTTATTGATATTTAATAAATTGTAAAATAATATATATAATTTATTTTTAATTAAATAAATATTTTTTAAAATATTTATTTTTCTTTTTTCATATAATAATATAAAATAATAAAAATGAAATATTCTTTTAGTGATATAGATTTAGAAGACATTTTAAATGATGAAGATGATGATTCAGAATAAGACGAATAAGAAGATTAAAAAAAATATGAAATTAAAAAGAAATAATGTACTTTAAGCAAATTTGCGGTTTAACATAAAGACAAACAAAATAATCAAGATCATTATTTAAATGCAGAATTAGTTAATATTTTTGATTTTAATCCCAATGAATTATTAGGTTTATAAGAAGATATAATTTAAAATGAAAATAATGAATAAATTCAAGTTAAAACATATATACATATATTTATTTATATATAAAACAAAGAAAAAAGAAGAAAAAAATGTGCTATAATTTGATGTAGAAGATATTTTATTAGAAATAGAAAATGAAGAAAAAGAATAAAATTTAGCCTAAAAAACAATAAAACAAAATGAAATAAAATAAAGTATTTATATTTCGAATACATATACTTAACAAATAAACACGCCTTAATAATAAACTAAAGAAAATAAAAAACAAAGTTCATAAATATAATATGAAAATTTAATTTTGAAAAAAGAAAAAGAAGTAGAAAAATAAGAAGAAGAGGAAGAAATAGAAGAAGAGGAAGAAATAGAAGAAGAGAACGATTTTTCCTTAAAAAAATAAATAAATCCATTAGATTTAATAGACTAAGATGAAGAAAAAATAATTTAAAATTAAGATAATTAAAACTTTGACTATTAAAAAAATCTTATTTTATAAAATATTTAACTTCCATAAAATTTTAATATGGAATATTTAACATTAGATTTCATTTCTAAATATTTATATCCTTATTAGGAAAACATTGTTTTAGGAGAAATGATTAATTATGGTTTTCCTAAAGCATTATGTGTAAATAAATATTTATTTATTTTTAATAAAAATTTACAACAAAAAAGGCTTTTTAAAATAAATTGCTTATAATAGGAACATCTTATGGAATGATAATAATATTTGATTTAAAAAATAAAAAAATAAATAAAATTATTGGTTGTTTTGATGATTATAAAAAATATGGTCCAGTTTCTTCACTTGATATTTGTAAATAAGGAGATTATATTGGGGCTGGCTATGAAAATGGAACAATAGTATTATATGATGTTGATTAAGGAAGTGTTTTAAAATCAATTTTTGGAATGCATGAAGGAGAAATTATTGCGTTTAAATTTTTAAAAGAGGTTTTTTTTTTTTTTTTCTAAAATACATTCAATAAATAGACTAAAGATTCTTTTATTTCAAGTGATTCTTAAGGAAACGTATTTTATTTTTAAATTTCGAAGATGTTTTGGTCTTATTCTTTTGATAAAAAAAGACTATTTAATAAAAATGAGAAAGAAATAATACATTAAATTGATGTTCTTTTCGAAAAATTCAAACCTTTAGATAATTTAAATGCAAATATAGTTGCACTTTCAGCAATTAGTCATATAATAATAATAACAGTACAACCACATGTTAAATTTCTGTTTAAAATCGAAAAACCATCTTTCGTTTTATATACTTCATTACCTTAGGTAAGTTGGGGAAGAGCCAAAGGACCCAAATCGAATGAAGAATGCAAAGAATACCCTGTTTTAGGTGTTTGTTGGGGAAATTACATTCGAATTTATTAAATGAATAAATTTTCAATAATTTAAATATAGGGAATAAATACTATTAGTGAAAGTTTTGATATTGTTGGTCATTTATGTGTCGATAGTTAAATTATGTATTTTTAATTTATTAGCTTTAATATGGTTTTGACCATGTTTAGTAGAAAAACATTTAAAATTTTTTTTGTTGAATAATTTAGTGATAAAGAAGAAAAATAGAATTAAGAATAAAATTGTTTAAAAAGTTAAATTTTATTAAAAGATGATGATGAAGTATTTTTTTAAAGCTATTTTAAAGATAATAATTAAAAATAAACTTAAACATTCAATAATTTAATTATTGCTAAAAATCATGATATGTTTTTTTTTTAAAAAAAATAAATAAATAAATTAATATATTTTTAATTTTTTAAGATTTTTTGCTACTGCAACTAATATATATAGTGGACATTTTTTCACTTGGAAGGAATGTATAAAAAAATATGTAGAAAAAAGTGATTGGAAAATGGCTTTAAAAATTGGATTTGAATTAATTAAAGGAAAATGTTAATGTTTTAGCATTTTACCTAATTTAAATTCTTTAGAAGACAAAGGTAAATTTATGGATATTTTTTTGGATTTAGTTACTGTATTTTTGTAAAACAGTTCAGAAGAAATCACCTAATAAGGGTTTTCTTATGAGATATAAAAAGAAAAGTATTTTTTTTTTTTTTATAAAATAATAATATTCATAGATATTCAGAAATTGCAAAATTATCTTTTGAATATTTAATTGAAAGTGAATAATATAATTATTTATTTAAATAAGTCAAATTTTTTTTCTTAAAAATGGATCATAATGATATATTTTTAAGCCATTTAGAACCATTTATTATGCACAATAAAATAAAAAGTGTCCCTAATGATGTATTTACTGAAATACTTTATTATTTTAAACAATAAGATAAACTAAAAGTTTTATAAAATTTTATTATTAATTTGGACTTGTAATCAATAGATTTAGGATTTAGTATGAGTGTATGTTTGGATTTAAACTTATTTACGCCATTAATATATATTTGTACTAGGAAAGATAATGATTTTATAACTCCTTTAAATAAAATGTATTAATAATATTTATAAATTTAATAAATAAGTAAAGATAAAGGAAAAAAATATATTTATTAATGCATGTGGTTTTTGCGTACAACATTAGAAGGTAAGATGTTTCCAAATGATTAAATAGAGGAGAAAGTGTATATAAATACTATAAGATCACTTGTTGTTTGGCTATTTATTGAAGAAATTCTTATAGCGTTTTTAAATTATGATTCTAAGATTTTTTTAGATATATTATTTATGTTTTTTGAAGGAAGACCTGCTTTAATATTAAGAGAATATGATTAAAATTTATGTAATTATTTTCATAAAGATCCTTAAAAAGATTTTTTACCAGAATTTGTTCATTTAGAAATGATTAGAAAAATTGATTAATGTATAGGATAAGATATATTACCATTTCAATAGTTTTCTTATTTTGTTGGAAAAGTAGCTAAAATTTAGGAACATTAGATAGATTTAGATATTTGTATTAAATGCGTTTAATATGTTCTAAAAGATAAAAATAAATATTCTGAATTCCAAAGGAGTAAAAAATCTTCAGAAACTGTTTGTTTGATTTAAAAATGTAAAAATTAAATTTAATAAAATTTAGATTAAATTAAATAATTATTGGAAGTTGCTGATGATTCAGAATTGTACTTTTAAATTATATTTTCTATTTTTATATATATAATATTTTATATTTATTAAGTGATGAAATAGTGGCATATTTATATTTCCTTTAAGGAGATATAGAAAGATCATTTAATATGTACTTATTTATGAAAAGTAATAAATTTGAATAGTTTAAAATTTTTGTTTGGCTTCAGGAAGCATTTGAATCAAGCTTTTTAGGAGAAAATAATATTAACTTGTTAAAGAATCATATATTAGATAATATTTTCTAATTAGTTTAAACTTCACCAATTTAAACAAAAAATATTGTTTAAAAATATATGAAAAATTAAGAAGATTAAATATTTGAAATACTTTCATAGTTTCCTTCACTTTTACTTGATTATGTTGAATGTATTATATAAGATAGAAAATAAGGTCTTATTGCTTTAAAGAATGAAACTTTAGCTCTTTATATTACTTTACTATGTTAATAAGAACCAAGTAGAGTTATTTAAGAATTAAAAAATAATTATTATCCTTTAGAAGAAATTCTTATTATATGTGAAAAAAATAAGGCTACAGAAGCTGAAGGATTTATTTGTGAAAAATTAGGTTATTATTAGAAAGCTTTGGAATTGTATTCTGAAGTTTTTTTAAATATTTGTAGAAAAGCAATTAATAAAATTTCTTAAGAAAAATACTTTAGTAATTTATTTTTTATTATTATTAGTTTTATGTTTTTAATACATTTTAGATTAAACTTTAGTTTTTTAAAAGTTTTAATATATGATTAACTTGTGTAAAATTGCTTATTAGGCTGACTAAAATAAAAACTAAGTATTTTTTTAATAATATATTATATAATATTTAATTAAACAAAGGAATTATGGTTAAAAATGTCTTATTCTATTTTAGATTATAATACAGAGAATTCTATATGGAAAAGATTGTAAGAATAATAAAGAAAAAAAATAGATAAAGAAAATATAAATAAAATAAATAAAATATTTTCTGATATTATTGATGAATTATTTATTTATGTTTAAAAATATGTTAATATAGAAGGAGTTATTAACTTAATAAATATGTTCAATAATTAATTTTCTTTAAACAATATAAAAGAAACATTTATGAAAATACTTAAGAATCATTCAGAAGTAATAACACTTTTCAATGAAGCCAAACTAATAGCCATAAATGACTTACTAAATCAATATAAAAGTTACATTAGAAATATCAATTTAGGATGCAGTTTTATAAATAAATGTGTTGTTTGTGGTATAAATTTCTTTAATTATGGAAGTGATTTTATTATAATTTTTTAATGTGGGCATCCTTTTCATAAAAAATGTATTGATTAGAAAAAAAGTTAATGCTTAGTATGTATAAGAAAAGAATTGCCTTATAGTAATATAAATTAACTTATTTTATATTTTTTATTCTTATTAGTAAGTAAAATTGTTGTTGACATGTAAGAAATTTCAAATAAACTATAAAGAGCTAAAAATGTGTCATTTGATTAAAAATAAACTAGTAATTTAGCTACTCCTATTAATTTTAATAGCTAATAAAATAAAAATATTAGCTTTGAAAATGAATTAAAATATTTTAATGCATAAACTGCTTAAGAAAATTCTAATTAAAATAGTGTATTTTTATTTAAATTTATTTATATATATATTTCTTTAAATAATAAGGAATTAAATCTAATTATTGATAAAAATGAACTTTTAAGATAATAAAATACTTTCTAAAAACAGATTTAAATATAGTAAATAAAAGCTGAAATTAAAGATAAAATGATAAGAAAACTAAAAATATTTGATTGTTTTATTGAAGAAAATATAATGGATGTAATTTTTTAAAAAAATTAAAAATATATAAATTTAAAATAAAAAAGATTGATTAAATGAGATAAAAATATATTTAATTATGAAATATTTTTAATATAACTAAATATCTAAAATAATTAATATATATTTCTTTTTATTTTAATTTTGTTTTAATTATTTTTTTATATTAAAATAATAATTTTTTTTTATTAATTATTTTTATAATTTTAACTTATAAGCACTTGCATTATTTTTTTAAAATATAATTTTAAATAAAAATTTTTAAAAATAAAAATAAAGCATGTAGAAAATTATAAAAATCTATCTATTTTATTTCAGATTATATATATATAAAAAAAAATGATCTAATTTAATAATATATCAAATAAAAAAAAAACAAGAAGAAATAAATATAAATCTATTTTAATTTATATAAAGCAAATATATAACCTAATTTAATAATTAATTAACAAGAAAAAAAAACTTATTATTATTTAATAAAATATCAATTACTTAATAAAAATATTATTAATAAGAAATTAAAAATAATAAATAAAAATAATTTTTTCTAAAAAAATTAAATAAAAATAGAAAAAATGAGTATGTCAGGTTAACTCTTGGACGAAACAAAACAAGAAAAAATATTCATGAGAATATTAAAAAGAGACGAAAACTTATTTTGTGCAGATTGCAACTTAAAAGCTCCGACATGGGTTTCATTAGATTTTGGTGTATTTTTATGTATGGCTTGTTCTGGTATAAAAAAAATAAATAAAAAAAATAAAAAAGTAAATTAATAGGTGCACATAGGCATTTAAGTAGAAAAATAACAAGAGTTTATTCCACTAAAATAGATAGATGGAATATCGAAAATGTTGAAATTATGGATTATATTGGAAACGGGATTGCTAATTCTTATTGGGAATTTAAATAACCTGTAAGAAGAATATAAGCAAACTGTTAACCAGAAGATCGAATCAGATTTGTTACTGAAAAATATATAAAAAAATTTATTCAGATACTAAAGGATGTAACCCAGTTTAAATATTTTTAGAAAATAAAGCCAAAGGCATATTAGAGTAAAAAATATATAAAAAATAAAAAATAATTTTAAATTTTTAAATAGGAGGCCAATTTAAAAATAAGAAAAAACATTAAATAACCCGGCTTTATAAGTGATAAATGATAATAAAGGAAAAGAATTGTAATTTTATTCGAATTGTGGAGCTGATAATAATCATATTAATCGTTTAAGATAAGAAAATTAGCCTTAAAAATCTAATTTTAATTCATTTGCTACACCGAAAAATAATAATATTATTGATTTATTAGATATGGAAGAAAATTCGCATACAAATAATTAAAATAATAACATAAATAAAAATTAAAATAATATATTAGACATTTAATTCAGTGAATTTAAGCAATGTCCTCCATAAGCAGTTTAAAATGGAAATGATGAAATATAACTCGATTTAATGAATTTATATAATAACAATAGTAATAATAGTAATAATAGTAAAAATAATACTAAAAATATTTAAATTAATAATTAAAAAAATAATAATGAAAATTAATAAAAAAGTAATATGGACTTATTATTTTTTGATGAATAACCTTAAAAATAATAAAATAATACTAGTAATAATGCTTAAAACATAAATAATAATTAAAATGAAGTAGATAAAAATAGATATTAAGCATTAAACTATTTAACATATAATTATTATAATAACTAACATAATAATTAATATAATAATTAATTTAACAATTAATATAATAATTAATATGCTTAAATGTATCAATAATAATAATATTAATAATAATAATAATAATAATAATAATAATAATAATAATATTAATATTATTATTCTAATTATAATAATGGAAATAATATTTTGAATATGTAGAGAAAATGAAAAAGTTTTTTTTTTATAAATATATTTAAAATTTATTAACTTTTATCTTTTAACTTTTTCATAATTTTATTTTTTATATTATTAATAAAATAATTATAATTTTAATTAAATTTAATTATTTTTCTTAAAATAAATATTTATTTAATACTATATATTTTTATTTAAATTTATATTCTTATAATTATCATATAAACAGTAAAATATTACTAAAACTTCATAAAAATAATAATCAAATAAAATAAATAATTAAAAAAATAAAAATATTATTAAATATATATATATATATATATATATATATATATATAGATAATGCTTTATTATTAATCAAATATTCTAATTAAAAAAAAAATAATAATCAAACTTTAAGTTTTTTCTAAGGATTTTCTTTTAAATCATCGTCATCTTTTGCTTGTTAAAGATTATCTTCTTATTTCTGAATTTCTTCTTAAATATTTTCTTCTTTAGTTATTTTTTAATTTTGATCTTCTTAGTTAGTAATTGTGTCATTTTAAATTTATTCTTCTTCATCTTTCTAATTATCTGAAATCGAATAAGGTTATGTGTCATGGACAAGTTCACTATTTTCTTTCTCAGTATTAGTATTATTTTGAGTTTGTTATGTAACAGATTCTTCACTTTTTTTGATTAATTCATTTTCTTAAGGCTATTCTTTTTATTCTGATTAAGATTGGTTTTCATTTAAAGTTGATTATGAGCTATTAGCTTTTTTTTCAGGACTTAATTTCATATTTACTTGTTTGGATGATTCTAATTTGTTTTATAATTCATTTTCTTCTTTTTATTCTACTTCTGAATTTTATAAGATTTAAGATTCTTATATTTTTCGAGATATTTCTTAAATTTTTATGTTTAAAACTTCGGTATTTTCTTCTTGAGTAGTCATTTTTATTATTTTATTTTTTTGATTTTTTTTATTATTTATTTATTTATTTTTATATTGAAAAAAGAGTTGATATATTGCAAATTCCATCTAAAAATTAGAATTTTATAAACATTATTTATATTTATAAATAAACAAGTAAAATAAAATAATGTATATTTTTTTTAATATAATATCTCTAATTATTTTATTTATTATAATAATTAGTTTATTTATATTTTTTTTTTATTTATTATTAAATTTATAAATTTAAGTCTTTTTTTTTTTTTTCAGTATTATTAAAATTCAAATATTTCTAAACAATCTTTTTTATAATTTAGTATTTAATTTTAAATCTAATCAATTTATCCATTAATTTATGCCAAAACATCAACTTATTTATCCAATAAATTTTATTATTACATCATTTTTATCATTTGTTCCCTAAATATATATTCCGCAACATTATGTTAAGTTAATATTTCTAATTCTCCGTCCTTTTATACAAAAATATTAGCTTTATTTTCATATTTTTCATCTGTATTAAAATTATTAAAAATTAAATTTAAATATATTTTTATTTACCTTAAATAGGAATAGGTTTTAATTTAATTAATACTTTTTAAATTATCTCATTAGAAGGTTAAATAAATGATATTTAAATGTTTGTTTTATCTTTTAAGCTTTATTTGATAAGAAATTTAGTAAATTGAGTTAAAATTTATTAAGAATATTCTAATTATTCTAAATTTTCCTTAATTAAATTAAATGAATATGAAAATACATATGGTTCAAACAATTATATAATTTCTTTTTATTAAGCTTAGCTAAGTTTTTATAAATTTGTTATTTAAATTTATTTTTCCTCTAGTATTTAAATGACTTAATTATTTATAGGGAGTGAAATTTATTCAAATGTGGTTAAAAAATCTTCGAATAATTTATTTAACTTTATTTATTTTAATAAATAATTTTTTTTATAATTTTACTTAATTTTCATTTTATAATAATTATTGTATATGACTTTATCCTAAACTGTCTTCATATTTTGTTAAAAAACTAAATAATATGAACATTTAACCTAAAAAACCTCCAAATAGCCCCACTTTTTTATATTTTAATTAATAAGCTTTTATATGAATAATTATATATATATATTTATACCAAAAGGTAAATATTATTAAGAACCATCTATATCACAAATATATGCTTTTTATATATTTTCTTTTAAAGTTCCTTTATTAACAATTTTTTTTAGAATATTATTTATTAATCTCTACTTTCTTTTATCTTCTTTTCTTTAATTCTTTTGAATTTCTTTCTGGATTTCCTCCTCTTCTTATTCTTTTATTCTTTAAAGTTTTATTTATTCGCGTTTTTCTAATTATATTTAATATCCTTTTCTATGTAATTCAATATTTTTTTAATTAATATTTTAACATAGTTCTAATTTATTAATATAAATAAAAAAATGAAAAATTATATTTTTTTAAACATTTAAAATGATTTTCTATAATTTATTTGTCAATCAAATTTTAATTAACTTGATCTTATAAAAAAGGAAGGTAATTAGAATAGATCTAAATTTATAAAAAGTTTCTAAAAACTCCTAAATCAATCATATATTAAGAAACATTTTCCTTTAAAGAATGCAAATAGTTAATTGCAATATTTCTTGAAATAATTTTTTTATGAATACTAACTTTTTATTTTTAAAAACTTTAATATTAATGACTTCTTCTTTCCTTTTTTTTAAAAAAATAAATAAATAAAATAAAATAAAAAAAATTTGATTACAATTTCATCTTTTTTTCTTTCTTCTTTTGTTTAGAATCTTTGGCATTCTGCAAGTTGTACATTTCTTATAATTTCGAATTGTCTTTATTGATTTTACATTTCTTTTAATTCTTCTTCTTCTAAAACTTCAATTCTACTTTACACTAAAATTTTTCCTAACAAAACTTATAATATAACTTCTACCTCAACATTAAAGTCAAATAAATCCCCATCTTGTATCTATGTCTCTTTATCTTCTCCGAATTTCATAGGCCAAAAAAGTCTATTATAAGGCCTATCTATTTAAGGCTCTGTTTATGCATATTATTATGTCTCTGAAGGTTTTCCAGCTAATATTTCTACATATTACTCAGTCATTACTTCTATATTATGTCTTCCTTCGGGTAGAGGAGGCGTTTACTTGCGCACAAGAGATTGCTGCTTTGAAAATGCATTTTTTAGAATTTTTTATTAAGGTTGAGACTATTATAATGTTTAAAATTATTATGCTTATGAATATTGTTTTAACCTTGCATATGTATTTCCTCTTAGTACACGTTTGTCAAACATTATGTTTTTGGAATTGTTAAGTCTGCTTTTTTTTTTAATTTTTAGTATTATTTTTAATTTACTCTTCATCTTCTGGATTAATACGGTATTTCTATGTCTTTAATGCGGGATTTTGAAGTAATGGTTTAGCAGAAAATTAATATGTTTCATTGTTTAATTATTTCATTTTTTTTTTTGGAAATTATAGTTTTTTTTTATTTATTTTTTAGTAGTTTTAACTTTAAAATAAAATTTAATAAAGGCTTAAAAAATTCTTATATAAAAATATTAAAAAGCTGTTATTTATTAAGAAAATTAATATTATTAATATATTTTTGTTAATTTATTTTAATGTCATTATTTATTTTAATATTATTTTTTATAATAATTGAAATTTAATATAAAAAAAATATTAAATAAAAAAACTATTAAATATCTATAATATATATTTATATATATATATTTAAATATATATATATATATATACTTTTTTTTATTTAATTATATATATATAATATTAAATAATTTATTATAAATAAAAATTAATTATAAATTGATATTTTAACTAAAAATTTCATATTGTAAGAATATATAATAAATTTAATAAAAGAATTTATCATTTATTTTAAAATAAAATTAATGTAATAAACAATTTATAAATATTATTTTATTTACAACTATTATAAATAAAATAAAATATATTTATATTATTATTTTATTTTATTGTAAATAAATTATTTTTATAATTTATTTAAAATTTTTATATATTAACCATCAATTATTCCTTATTTTAATAGATGTGAAAAAAATAAAAATGTGATTTTTTAAAAAATATATTATATATTTAGTTAAAAGTTTCAGAATGAAATCAATATCTTAATTATAATTATAAAGTTTTTTAAAAATTAGTTTTTTTTATTATTATTACTTTTTTTAAAACACGAAGAAATGTTTTTGACAATGTCTAATATTATACAAAAAAAATAAATATATTGTTAATTAAAATATAAAATTACGAAAACATGCAATATTTATAAAATTTTTAATATTGTATAATTGTATAAATAAATATAAATTAAAGATTATTTATATATATCAATAATTTAAACACAAATATATCTCAGCATTTTTTCAAAAAAAAAACAGCAAAATGTTTACAATAATAACTAAGTTTTACTTAATACTTGCTATATATATATTAAAAGTACTCTGTATATAAACATAAGGACAATAAAATAGTACTCAAATATTATAACTTTAATCATAAAATTCTTAAGAAGGTTCTTTGTTTTGTTTGTAATGTCAACTTTTTTTATCGAAAATCTAATCAAAAAACACAACCGAATTTGTGCGCAATATTGCTTCGTTTACCGAGTTTTTTTGTACAACATTTCGAATTGAAACTAAAAAAGTATGTAAAGGAGCAATAGAAGAAAATGCAAAAATAGTGATAGATATGTTATAAAAAAGATACACTGATCCAAATATGATCTGTCCTTTGCTTGGTTTATGTCCGAAATATTATGATGAGATAAATATAGAAGACTTAATAAAATAAATAGAATAAGACAAACCTATAGTAAATGAATATAAAAAAGAATAAAAAAATAACGATAAATATAATATATTACACTTAACAGACCTTCATTTTGATGAAAAATACAAAGAAGGAGCTTCTGCAAACTGTAAAGATCCTAATTGTTGTAGAGAAGAGTCTTCTGAAAGTACTGAAAAGGCCGGATATTGGGGTTATGTTGGTAACTGTGATATTCCTTTTAGAACTATAGAAGCTACAATTGAGTTTATAAAAAAAAATTTAACGGAAACACTCGATTTTATAATATGGACAGGCGATAATACAAATCATTTCATTTGGGAATAATCATTAGAAGATAATTTAAAATCAACTGAATAAATTACTTAAATTTTATAATAAAAATTACCGAAAATCAAAGTTTTTCCAATTATGGGTAATCATGAAAGTTTTCCTGTAAATAATTATGATTTTGGAAGTTAAAGAGAAAAATATTTTAATTAAAGATTAAGCTCGATGTGGTAAAGTTGGATTGGAAAAGAAGCAGCTGAAATGTTTGCTAATAAAGGCTTCTATTCGACTTTTTTGAATGAAAAAGTAAAGATTATTGCAATAAATACTCAAGGAGCAAATAATGGAAATTTCTTTTTAATATAAAATCCAACTGATCCTGGAAAAATGCTAGAATGGATGAGAGAAGAATTGATAGATTGTGAAAAAAAAGGTTTTAAAGCAATTATTATTGGACATATTCCTTCGAATGGTGATGTTTTGGAATTATGGAGTTAAGTATATAATTCTATTATTTATAGATTTGCAGATGTTATTAGCGGACAATTTTTTGGACATACACATATTGATTAATTTGTTGTTTATAGAAATCCTGAAAATAAAAAAATTAAAAATGTGGCTTTCGTTGCTCCTTCATTAACTACTTTTGTATATAGATTGCCTACTTTTAGAGTTTTTGAACTATTTAAAGAGAATGCCAAAGTTGTTAATTATATATAATATTCTTTTAATATAACTAAGTGGAATTTAAATGGAGTAAAAGATATTAATTAAGTAAATTTTGATGTAGATTATGTATTTAAAGAAAAGTATTAAAATATTTTTGGAAATGATCTTGGTAATATGGATGATTGGGAAAAACTTTTGAAAGAAATGAAAAATAATATTAATGTATTTAATGCTTATGCTAAAAGTTATAATAATTAAAATTAATAAATAGAATATAAGGAGGTTGATTAAAAAATATTGTGCGGCTTAGAAGGAACTTAACATTTATAGGAAGAGTGTATGGGGAATAGATACAAGAAAAAAATAATAGAATATATATATGGAAATTGGTTTACTAAAAAGAATTGAAAGATATTATTTATATGTATTTTTTATTGTTTTGAATATATTTTATATAGTAATAATAATATATAATAAAATAATAAATATTTATATAATATAAAAATAAAAATTATTTTTATTTTCAAATGAGTAAATATTAATTATTTAATAAACAAGAAATTAAAGTTTTGACTTACAATATATTCATAAGACCTCCTCCTATAAAAACAAATGAAGATGACTTTAAAGATGAACGTTTGACAGTTTTTATTTAAAAATATATATAGAATTTTGACATTATTTGTTTTTAAGAACTCTTTCGCCCTTTTTCTGGAAGGAGATAAAAAGTTGTTTATTCTACAATAAAAAAAGGATTTCTATTTCATGTTAGTGCTCCTCAACCTGGATTTTTTTCCCGTTTTTTAATTGATGCAGGATTAACTATTCTAAGTAAATATCCGATAGTATAATCTGAGTTTTTCCAATTTTCTTATGGAATTAAAGCAGATGGATTGTGCTAAAAAGGTGTTTTATATGCAAAAATTTAAATTAATGATAAATTTTTACATATTTTTAATACTCATACACAAGCTTCTTATGCATAAGATGAAGATTAAGTTATTATTATTATTATTATTAATTATTATTATTATTAATATTATTTTAAAATAAGAAACCTTGCACTTTTACTAGAATCAATTAGTTATTTGAAATTAGAAATTTTATATAAAAATGCTTGGAAAAATATTTATTTTAAAATGATGATATATGTCTTTTTGGAGGTGATTTTAATGTAGATGCAAAACATTAGGACTTTTTAATTAGCAATTTTAGAAATTAAGATGAATTAATTGTTTTATTATTATTATTATTTAAAATATTATTTTTATTTTTAAAAAAATAAAAAAAAAGAGTAAACTTAATTTAAATATAAATTAAACTTATTTTAATGAATATGAAGCTCTAATTAATATTCTTTAAGGAAAAGATAAAGATATTGTTATAGATTTAGCAAAGGTATTTTATATTAAATGCTTAATTTTTTTTTTATATAATATTTAGGAAGCTAATAATGGATAATTCCCTATAACTTATGGAGAATATAAAGTTGTTAATAAAGTTAAAATACCTTTTGAAACTGTATTAATAGAATAAATAGATTAATGTAGTGAATCATGCTTAGATTATATATTTTAAATTATCCCAAGAAGTTTATTTAAGAACTATTAAGAAGATGAAAAATAAATTTGTTATAAAAATTAAAATAATTATGTATTTATTATATTATATTAAAAATATTTTATTTTTTATATTTTCTATTAATTTAATAATTAAAAAAATTAAAATAGAAAAAATTAAAAATTGATATAAAAAGTAGCAGTGTATAAAAATTTTCTATTGATAATTAAATTTTTACTCAGCTTTCAGACCATTTTGGAGTTTCAACTATTATCTTATATGGGTGATTATTTTTTATTTTATTATACTGATTTTAATTAATTATTTTTTATTAAATATAATAAACAATTTTTTATCTCATTAATTATTTATTTTTGTTTTAGATATTTTAAAATTAAAAAAATAATTTTGTCCTTATTATTTTGTTTAGTATATCTTATAATCATAATTTTATATAGAATAAAAACATTATATATTTAAGTATTAAAATATTTCTTTTTTTAAATATAATTATAAATAAGTATATAGTAATGGATTTATTATTAATTAACATATATATTATAAAAATTTAAACTAATTTTTATTTTACACAATAAAAAATATAAATAAAAATTTAAATTACACAATAAATAATAGTTAAATAGAATTAATTCAAATTTAAAAATAAAAAATTATCTAAAATGTCAATACTATTGAAAAAATTGACGAAATCAGCATATGATTATTATTATGGGAATGAAGAAAATATATTATCTAATCATAATTATAAAGTAACTAATATAAATTAAATAATGTATTTTTTTCCATTTATTATCTTTAGATCGAAACAGCATATGGTGAAGTTATATCTATATAAGGATATTCCTAAAGATAAAGAAGATCTAATGCCATACAGACAAATTTATACAGTGTAATAATAAATAAAAATTTAATTTAACATATTTCTAAAAAAATTAATTAGAACTATCAATTTATATTCAGTATGCTTATAAAAGCATTATCAAGGTGGTATTTTGTTGTTTAGATAATAATTTTTATAATTATGTTAAACTCTAATGTTTTAAATTAGAAAGATTTATAGTTTTTACTTTTTTTTAATATAATATCAATATTTTTTTTTTTCATAAAATAAAATTAATAGTGAGTTAGTATCAGCAATAATTGTTCCTTTTATAATAACATTAATATTGATAAGTTTAAGAGAATTGTATTTTGATAGAAGAAGAGTTAATAATGATAAATTAATAAATGAATAAACTTGTTAAATAATAAGAAAATTTCGTGATGACTCAAATATAAATTAGAAAATCGATACAATAAAAAACAAAGAAATACAAATATATAAAAAAATAAAATGGAAAGATATATAAGTAAAAAATTATAAATAAATATAATTCATCGTTTTTTTAGATAGGAGATTTAGTTCTTATAAAGAAAAACGAAATATGTCCTTGTGATATTTTAATATTAGATATGTTTTATAAATAGTGTACTGTAAATACATAATATATTGATGATATGACTGATTAAAAGACTAAAATATCACCAGAGTTAACACACAGTAAAATATATTATAAAAATAAATAATAAAAATAAATATTAGTAAAAAGTGATTCAAAGATAAAAGGCGATCATATAGAATACCGAAAAATATTAACAGGAAAATTTAGTTTTAAAAGAAATAATGAAGGAGATTATAGTGGTTCAATAAAATTAAAAAAAGATCCTATAAGCTAAGAACTTACAGATAATATGTTTATATTAAGAGGAAGTTAAGTTTAATTTAGTGAATGGATATTAGGACTAGCTATATAAATAGGTATGGAGACATATATTTATAAAAAATTTAAATAATCATAAATATTCTATTATTCATCAACTTTCATTAGAAAACAGTTATATTATTCGGCAATTTGTTTATTTTTTTTAGCTCTTTTATCAGTAATTGTTATATTAGTCAAATAGCTTGACATTAGCTATTTTGGAGAAAATAATTATGAGTTTGCAGAATTAAAAGTTATTGTAAGCTGTGTTTTGTAGTTTCCTATCTATTTTCATGCTTTAAGTGAGCTTTTTATGTCAATTGTTTGCTTTTAGATTTCAAAAGAAAACAAATCATGCTTAAATAAAACAGATAGCATTAAATAAGAAAATAATAATATTATTGGAAATAAAAGTTTGTTTAAAATAAGTGATTCTATTAGAGAAATTAATGACACTAAAAGCCTAGTGGATTTATGTTTAACTTCTCATATTATTTTAAATACTACAAATACTATATCAACTGGTAATAGTGTAATTTCAGGATTTACAGTGCACGACTGCATTTTTAATATTGATGTGGGTTAATTAGAAATTGCTTATAAAAAAAATATAGCAAAAATTTAAAATCAAAGTGTCCTTATTAATAATTAATGTATAAAACCTTATTTTGCAAATGATCTTATAATAGTTCAAGAAGAAGAAAAAAGCAGTCTTTTACAAAAAGGCAAAATTTTAATATTTAACGAAAACTTAAATTAAGATGGAAATGAAGTTACTGAAAATGATAAATTATCATTAACAAATTAAATTTAACAAGATGACATACATATAAATAATATAAAAATATCTTAAACTTATTCTTCTGAATAAATATAAATGAAAAAAAATGGTTTAAAATCAAGCAACTCAAATACTCCTCTAATAAATCTTTAATTATATACGGGTTAGTTTTAATAAGGGAATATGTCTTCAAGAGCCAAAAGAGGAAGCTGTTTTTTTGCTCAAGGAAGTCTAAGAAACAGCTTAGAAAAAATTTATAATAGAACTAATCATACTTAAAGTAATTTCTAATAGGATGCTGTTTTACAATAAAAATAATCTTAGTAATAATATAAAAGTTCTTCATGCTAGGATTTTGATTAACTAAATATTTTACAAGAATAAGAGTTTGCCGATTTGTATTGTTTTAAAGGAGAAGAATATCATATTGAATCTCAAAAAATTATAAGAGCTATGGTTCTATGCCATTACACGAGATCTTTTTATGATGAAGAAACTGGGAAAGTTGTAAACTCGTCTTTAAATTATATTGAGGATCTATAATTATAATTAGGTAAGGCTATTGGATATAAATTTAAGCTTTCTTGTTATATTGAAGATGATTTTACATACATATTACATAATCAACAATTAAATAAATATGAAAAATATAAAGTTTTAGGACATCATTATTATGTTCAATAGTAGAAATTTAGCATTTTAATATAGGAAGAGTAGCAAAATAGTCAATAATGTTATATATTTAGTAGATAAGAAATAATAAATGTAAATGAATTAAATTTTATTAAGGAAAATTATATTTTTGATTTAAATTTAATTTGTGATTTTTATAAATTTTCGGGAAACAGAACTATTATTTATTCATATAAATCTTTATCAGATGATGAGGCAGTAAATTTAAAAGCAAAAATAGAAGAAAATAAAGCAGAGTTTCCTAAAATTATAAATGAAAGTTTGAATGATAATAATTAATTTTTGACTATTTTGGCTTTAAAAGAAAAGCATAATTCAAAAGTGGCTGAATCTTTAGTTCTTTTGAAAAATGCTAATATCAAAATTTGGGTTACTACCGGAGATTAGTAATAAAGAGTTATTCCCTTGTGTTATTCTTTAGGGGTTTTAGAAAAAAAGATGAAATACTGATGTTTGATAGCACAGATTAAGAAAAATTATAATATTTGATGCGATAATTTATATAAAAATTAAAAGATATATTTGTAAAATCATAATAAAATTAATAATAAAAACTTTTTATAGGTAGAAAAAGCATAATTAATAGTAAAGATGTATAAAAAATGATAAATTTTGCAATTATAGTATCGGGAAAAACATTAGAAGTAATAATGTAGAGTCCTTATTTAAATAATCATTTTTGTTTTTTGTCTTATTTTGCTTAAAGTGTTGTGTGTTTTAACTGTAGTCCTGAACTTAAAGTAAGATTAATATAAATAGTAAACTAAGATTTGAAATAAAACTATAAAACTTTATATATAGGAGGTACTTTATGCGATTATTAGGCTTTTTCTAAATCTAATGTTTGTGGATTTAAGGGAAGTAAATTTTCTAGGGAGCATAATTTCGCAGGAATAGAACTAAAAAAAATAGAAAATTTAATTTTTTTAATTCATTTTAATTCACGTTTAATTGCTGAAATTTATGAAGATTCACTTCTTTTAAATATTTATAGAGGATTAGTATTTTCTTTTGTGATTTTTTTCTAATATATGTATTGTGCTATTAATATTAATAAATATAATGTGGGAAAATATTTTACTGTTTCTCTTTTTGCCACTATTTTTTCAAGTGTCATTATTTATTATAAAAAAACTAATTCTTATAAATAAAATGATAATATTAATACTTAATGTCTACTTTAATAAAATTCTGTTCTTAAAGAATTTTCTAATTCTAATATCTTTAAAAAAACACTTAATCTTTTTATTATTTCTGCTCTTGATTCATCAATTCTTTTCTTCTTTTTGCGTTATATTTTTTATGATTTTACTTTTTAGGATGGAGTTCATTATATTCAAGAAGATTTTCTTAATTATTTATAAAACTTTATGTGTTTGGCTCTTTTACCACCAGCAAGAATGTGTGTTGAGTATAAGTTTAAGATTTAATATGTGATAACGTTATATTTTTTCAATATTATATGTATTTTGGGAATTTATTGCTTTGATGATAGAAATTACGAATATGTGACTTTCAGTATTTTTTTATTATAAAAAAGTTCTTTTTGTATACTCTTTTTATGTATTCCTATATCTATTATTTATGCCAATAACATTTTATTATATTATTGTGGAAAGATCAAATTAACTAGTTTTGCATTAATTAAAAAAAGCCAAAAATTCAATTTAATTATTAATAATTGTGTAAAAGAATCTTTCTTCTATAAAGTAAAGACGCTTAATTTAGAAAAACTTATAAACAAAATATTTAGTGATAACTAACCAGACACTATATTGAATTCTTATATTTTATAAATGTAATAAAATGTAAATAAGGCAATAATGAATACATTTACTCTTAAGTTTAATGATAAACTAATCGAATAACGATTCATTGCTTTATCTAGAAAGAACTAGTTGGTTTATTAAAAAATTTGTGATTTAATTTAATTTTTATTTGTAGATTTAGGCTTAATTACATATGCTGTCTTTTCAAATAAAATGAATAATTATAATGGAAATAAACATTTTTTAGTTATATATTTAATTGGAATTTTGGTTCTTTTATTCTTTATTCTATTCACCTTTTTTAATAAAAAATATGAAAAATACTCAATTTAAATCAGTCATCTAAAAATATTATTTAGGATAACGTTTTTTTTAAGTCTTTCGAAAATAATTCCTTTATGTGATCTTATTCCTGGTATTTTTATTTGTGTAAGTTTTTCAATAATAACAATCCCTTTAATCCGTTTGGAGTTTTTATATTTAGTTATATCAATATAATATATATTTCTTATTTATTTCCAAATATTTCATACACAAAATGATGAAGAGTAATCAAATCTTGATTTTTGGCAAAAATTTCATATTTTTATGGGATAAATTTTAATAACTTTTTTAGGCCTATATACTTATTTATTATAAAAAAGGCATTTAGAACATTCTATAAGAAAAAGCTTTTAGATAGATTAAACTTTGTCTTAAGCCACTTCAAAAATGAAAGATATTTTATCTATTCTTTTGCCTCGTTTTATAAGAGAAAAGTTATATATTAGTGGAGAAAACTATGATAATATAAGTAAAGATTAAGGAAAACTAGCTGTTTTATTTTGTGATATAACCAATTTTGATGACATAATGCTAAAAGAAGAAGAAAATGTGATAAAAATACTTGACATTTTATATAGGTAATTTGACAAATCTTGCATTTCTAATTAAGTATTGAAGATTGAAACTGTCGGTAAAACTTATATGGCGGCAGCAGGCTTAAAAGACGTAGACGAATATTAATAAGATTTAAAATCTCTACTTGATCCAGTAAAAAGATGCATTTAGCTAGCTTTAGAAATGTAAGAAATCGTCAAAAGCACAATAAATGATGTTAAAATAGAAATTAAAATCGGAATAAATTATGGAACTGCAATTGCAGGTGTTATAGGATTCCACAAACCTTAATTTTCATTAATTGGAGATACGATTAACACTGCAAGTAGGATGTGCTCGACAGCAGAAAAAGGGAAAATCGTTCTTTCAGAATAAGCTTATATGAGAGTAATTGATTTATAATAATATAAATTTAAACATAGAGAAATAGAGGTAAAAGGAAAAGGCATAATGTAAACATATGTAGTTAATTTGGATAAAAACGAAAGGATAAAAACTCATTTTTAAAATAATTCAACAAGAAATTAATAAATTATTTTAGATGAATTTAATGATAAATACCAATAAATTAGATAGAGGAAAAGATCTAATTCTTTTTGTTAAATAAATAATAATTTGAATAATAGTAAATGTGAATTAAAATAGAATATAAATTCAGCTAATAAAAAGTTTCAATCAAAAAATATTATATTAAATAACAATAATTTATTTTAAAAACCTATTTTATCAAATCGTTTAATTGAATAACCAAATTCAAAAGAAAAAATAGAAAGTAATATTGATGAAATTTTATAATTAGAGTCATAGTTAAAAATCGAAAATCATATAAATATTCCTAAATTATCCAACTTTGGACTTAATATGCAATTTTACCAATATTAAATAATTAAAGAATAATTCAAAGAGGAAAAAGATGACCTCAACAACCATAATGTGAAAAAAATTAACCTTAATCTTTGGAACGGAAAAATGAAAAATGAATTTGAAAAAAGCGTTCTTATGGATGAGCTTGTATTTGAATATTGGAGTACTTAAATTGATGAAAGTTAACATTAATTAAGTATATTTGGATATGCTTTGGCTATTGAAATATTTGTGTATACTTGTGTGATTTTTAGTATTTTGAAAGTAAATTTATTTGTCAAAATAGTTATTATTTTTCGGTTTTTGGCAGTTGCTTTGATTTTTCTTATACTTTATTTTAATTTCAAAATTTTCAATATGAAATTAAAGAAAATTAGATAAATTCTCTTTGGATTTTTTTTCATTATTTTTGCATGCTTAAATAGTTAATTTTTGCTCAGTAATTATATTTTTAACGTGTAATAAATCATTAATGTCAAACCATTTATTATTTATGAGATTTATTTTACATATGTACTTATTTTTTCTTTAAAAATATTCAGTTTGTAACACTAATCTTATTTTTTTTTGTTCTTTTTCATATTTTACATAACCGAATCGATATTATTTTAAGATTTTATTTTTGAAATTGCTTTCAAAATTCTATATTTGTAATTCATGTTCCTTTATAATAGCTATATTTTGAGTATAACTAGTCTAAATCATTTTAATAATATCAAAAATCTACATGAAAAAAATTCATAAACTGATAAGTTGATTCAATATTTGCTTCCTAATCATATTTTATAAAGGTTTCTTATAAATCCGACCGCATATTATCAAATAGCGGAAACTTATTATTAACAAACTATTCTATTTGCAGATATTGTAGGCTTTACGGCTTTTTCTGATAAAAATTAACCAGAAGAAGTTGTAAAAATGCTAAGGACCTTGTATACAGAGTTTGATAAAACTTGCTAATTACATAAAGTTTTTAAACTTTATACAATAGGAGATTGTTATGTTATTATAGGAAATACAGATCATTAATAAAGAGAACCTATTTAGGAAGCTATAAATGTGCTTAAAATGGCTTTTTCTATGATTGATATTTTAAGTAAAAATATAGTTCTTATTTAAAATTAAATTAATATAAGAATTGGAATTCATACAGTATTTTTTTTATAATTTAATATTTTCTATAATCTTATTTTTTTATTTTGTAGGGAAAAATCGTTGGAGGATTAGTTGGAACGTAAATTATTAGATATGATATTTATGGATAAGATGTTCTTATTGCAAACAAAATGGAAAGCAATGGAGTTAAAGGAGGAGTTACAGTAAGTGAAAGTACTAAAAATTTAATTGAAGAATCAATGGAAAGCTGTGATTTTGAATTTATTGATAAAGGAGAAGTTTATATTAAATCAATAAATAAAACTGTTAATACATATTTAGTGGATAGAGTTTGAATAATTATTTATTATGATTAAAAAAATTAAATAATAAATTAAAAATTTTATAGTATATTCATTTGAGTTTTTATTTTATTTTTTTATTTAAAAAAAAAAAAAAAAACTTATATCTATCAATTTTTTATTTTATTTTTTTGTAAAAATATAATAGATAAAGTCAAATATTAAAAAAATAATTAAATTAATTTAAAATAAAAAAAAATAATTAAATTTATTTAAGATATGAATATATATAATATTAATTAATATTATTTAATTATTAAGTTTTCATTTTTTTTTTTTTTTTTAAGACTAATTATAGAAAACAATTAAAAATATATATTTTATTTTTTTACTCAATTCATTAATAAAAATAAAAAAAATAACAAGTAATTAATAATTAATAATAATATATTATTATTATTTAGTTTTGGATATTTGATTTTTATATTTTATAATCAAGTAAATATATATAAAATACGATAATAAAATTAATCATATATTAAATTATGAAGATTTTCTTTTTGTTTATTGACTAACCGAAAATTCTTAATAAATATATAAATATTTTTTCAAACTAATTGTATTTTTTGTAGTTATTAAACATTAAAATAATTTTTATTAATTTGTTTTTAATTTTATCCTATTTATCATTTTTAATTAAATATTTTTACCATATTTAACTTACAGTTTTTAAACTATATATATTATATTTTACAATCTGTAAATTTTTTTCCTCTTTAAATTTATATGATAACGTCTAATTATTGTTATTAAATCAAATTTGTTATAATAAATTAATTTTAAATCAAATATAATGATATTGGGAGTGATGAAGACGAGAAAAGAAGTATTAAAGTTGATTTTTATTATTAAATTTAGTTATTTTAATTTTAAAAATCATATTTGATTTCGCGCGTGTGATAAATAAATTTATTTATATGCAAAACATTAACATATAAATAAATTTACATATAGTGATGCGTTCAGGATTATAAATAGAATTCTTATTTCCATTCCAAAAAAAGTTTTAAATTTTTATTTATATTTATTTATATAATGTTTTGATGCAAAAATAGATTTTATGCACATTTCTAGTTGTATATTTTGTAAAGTGTCCGTTTTTTATATAATTAATATTATATTAATCATATAATATCATAAACCAAATATATTGCTAAGAAAAATTTATCATAAACAAATTGGAATACAAAAAAAGTTATTATACTCCAAACTAAGTAGATAAAATTTGATAAATAAATGAATTTGATTACTATAAATTAATATTAGAGTAAAACTAATTTTTAAAATATATTATCAATTTTAACATATTAAATTTATTAAAAATTAAATTGTAAAAAATGACATTATATTAAATAAAATATGTTTTAAATACAAATAAAAAAGAGTTTAATAAACATAGTTTTTTAAAAAGAAATAAAATATAATTATTTATTATAATAAAATATAAAAAAAGCGATGTAATTTTATATAGCTTTTATATAAGTTTTATTTTTCAAATTTATTTAAACTTTAAATTTAATATATTAAAAAAAATTAAAAATCATACTTTTAAAATATTTATTTTTAAATAAAAACTAAAAAAATTAATAATTTTTAAAAAACATAAAATTTAGATACAAAATTTTTTTATAATATATAAATAAAAAATACAAATACAAATTTTAAAATATAAATTATATTAATATAAAGTAATATTAAAAGAAAAAAATATAAACATAGCAAAATATTATCGATATTAATTTATTTTATAAATATTTTATAAACATATGAATATACATATTAAGTAAATCAAGAATATTGAAATTATATATTTTCAATTTTAAAAAAACATATAAAAAAAGGTTAAGTGAAATAAAATAACAAAATAAAAATATATTTATATATATATAAATATATTATTTTTTAATAAATAATTTAAAAATAATTTTTTAAATCTTTTTATATATATAATATTTATTTTATACAATAAAATATTTTCTCATTATAATATATTCTATTTATTATTACTTAAATTATTATTAAATAAAATTTAATCAATATTATTGATTATATTTTTATCTTAATTAAAAACTTCAACCTATTTTATATTAGTAAATAAATAATAAATATCATAAAATATGCAAAAAAATAATTGGAATTAAATAATATAAAAATGAAATACTATAATATAAAATTAATTAATTTTTAAATTAAAATAATAGGATTTATATTTGTATTTTAACAATTTTAATTTTATTAATGAAAATAATAAAATTAAATAATTTTATTATTATTAAATGATTTTAATATTTAAGGCGATTAATATTATAATATTGTATTTTTTTTAAAAAAAGCAAAATTATTAAAAATTTTTTATATCTATTTAAAAATAAATAAAAAACATGTATACATTTATTTTAGTTATAATAAAATTTACACTATAAATAATATATTCTTAATTTTAAATAAATTATTTTCTTTTTATTTTAATTAAAAACAAATTTATTTAATTGTGTTAGTTAATAATTATTATAATTACACGAATTTTGTTTATAATCACTTTTTTCTATATAATAGTAAATTCAAATCAGTAATCTATCAAAATTAATTGCTTTTTAACGCATATTATTTTTTATAATTTTTTTTATTTTTTTATATATATATTAAATAATAATTTAATTTATTAAATTCTATTAACTTAATTCTTATATTATTCTTATTTTTTCATTGTTATTTTTTTTTCTATTATAGAATAAATAATTTTTTATATATTTATAAAAAAAACAAGAATAAATATAAAGCATAAAATATAAAATAATCTATTTTTAATTTAATAATAAATGAGGAGAAAAAAGATCACAATATAAAATATATATAATTATTAACAAAATAATAATAATAATAATTTAAAAAAAAAAAATTACATTAAAAAAAATTACATTAAAAAAAATGATTTAAATGCAATAAAATAATGTTCAAACATTAAATTATCCTTTAAAATAACAATTTTTAGTACAAAATTAAATATCTCACTTAAATCCAATATAGTTATTAGTAAAACCAAACGATTTTACTAACGTTTATAATTAACAAAGTGATACTTCTGATAAATCTACATGCTATGACTAAGAAGAATATAAAGAATAATAAGAAGATGATTTTTTTTTCAATATAATTAATGCAGGAAAAAACTAATAATAGTATAAAAATTATAAAACTGAAATGTGTAAAAATTGGTCTATTTTTGGTTCTTGCAAATATAATGATAAATGTAAATTTGCTCATGGAAAAGAATAATTGAATTAAAAAGCTATTTCAAGTAATTAATATAAAACTAAGTAATGTATCCAGTATTTTGAACTATAAGTTTGCAAATACGGAATAAGATGTAATTTTTCTCATTAAAAATAAGAGAAGAATAATAAATTTATATAAAAATTAAATTATCCTAACTTATTTAAATTAAATAATAGATTATAATTTTTCAAAAATCTTACTAATTCATAATAATTTAATTCCCAATCATCTAATTCTTATTGAATGATTAAGAACAACTTTAATTATTAAATATAAATTATTAAAAAAAAAATCTAATTTATATACATATATATTAATTTATAATAATATATATAAGTAGAAAAAATTTATTCATTATTTAATTTATTCATAATTTTATTTATATTTTTTAAAAATATTTTTAGATAATTACTTGTATTTATATTTAAATTATTTAATATATTTCTTTTATAAATATTAAAATATTAATAATTAATACATTATATAAAACTATCTTAAAATAGAACGAAATTAAATATTTTTTAATGATATTAAGTTAAATTATTATTTTATATATTTATAAAGATAATTTATTATTATTTAATTTAATTTTATTAATATCTTTTTTTAATAAATATATTAAGTTTAAAAAAATATAATGCAAATTTGCTTAAAAGAATTTAATGTTTTATATTAAACTAAAAAAATCCTATAATTTTGAGAAATAATGGTTTAATATGTAATATATATAAAATATATTATTTTTTTCTAAAACATAGAATATATTTTTCATATTAGAATTAATAAATAAATTATTTTATTATAATCAAAAAGGATAACTTCTTTTTTTTTTTTAAAAAAAAAAAAAATCAATATTATAATAACATTATAATTCTTAAAAAAAAAAAAAAATATCAAATAATTAATATAAATAAAATTCAAAAAAAAAACAAAAAAACTTTAAATAAAAAAAAAACTATTTTTCTTATAAAAAATATATTTAAAAAAAAAGAACAAAAAAAAAATGATAGAAAAGTTACTTGAGGAAAAACCAAAACCTCGAATAACAGAGATTCTTCCTAATACAAAGAGAACTTAGGAATTATATGCTAAAAAGCAAGCCGAAGAGCGAAAAAAGAAAGCAGAATTGGAACAATAATTAAAAGCCCGTCAAGAAAAAGAAATGTAAATTCATAAGATGTATGAAGAGCGCAAAAAGAAAATGTAATAAGAAGAATAAAATAAAAAAGAAGAAGAGCGAAAGAAAGCTGAAGAGCGTTAACAAATATCAACTTTAAAAGGAAAATTTGGTAATATGATTAATGATTTAAAATAAAACTCGACCACCTTAGATTTCACAATATCAGGATCGGATTTAAGACCAGCCCAAATTCCAATTCTTGTAAAGGCTGTAGAAAAAAACTTTTCTTTAAAGGATTAAATATGTGTCGTAAAAATATTAGAGATAGTGAAGGTATTGAAATAGCTAATAATCTAAAAAAAAACTTTGTTTTAGAAAGATTAGAACTTGAAGGAAATTTACTTGGTCCTAAATCTTGTGCTGCTATAGCAAATTTATTAGAAGAGAATAATACTATTAGAGTTGTTGATTTAGAAGGTAATGACCTTACTAATGGAGGTAAAGATTTTCATGGAATTGAAGTTTTGGCTTAGATTTTGAAAAAAAATGATACTTTGTTATGTTTGAATTTGACTAATACTAATTTGGATAAAAATTGCAGTCAAATGTTGTTAGAAATGCTTGAAAAAAATGATACTATTATTAATTTAGATATTGATCAAAATCCCAATATGGGTTTAGAAGATGTGAGAAAAATCTAAGAAAAATTAAAAAAAATAAATAAGATTATGATGATTAAAGATTAGAGGAATTTCTTGAAAGGAAAAAAATGAGTATTGAAGAAAATATCTCGTAAATTATTCATTAAAATCAAGAATCTAAAAGAATGGCATAAGAAAATATTAATGTAAGAATAGAAGCTTAAAGATAAGATAAAGAAACAAAATGGAGAGGCTTTTTGGAAGAAACTAATGTAAAAAATAAAAAAATATACGATAAAATTGCTAAAGAAGTATTTTTGGGAGGAGGAAAAAAAAAAAGAAAGAAAAAGAAAAAGAAATGATATTTATTATTTTTTATTTAATGTGGATATATAAATATATTTATATTATGATTATATTTTTATTTTTATATATGTAGCTCTTATTATTCATTAATTAATAATGTATTATTTCATCTTTAAAATTATTAAAATTAAATATATTCGAAATTATATACAATTATCAAAAAAATTATAAAAAAAATAATAATTAAAAATACATAAAAAATATAAAAATAAATATCTATTTATCAAAAATAATAAGATAATAAGTCATAGAGAAATATGATATTTTTTAAAAAATACTGATTTATTAAAAAAAAAAAAAAAATTATTTTAATTAATTTTAGAAAATACATAATGTTTTATCGATGTCAGATAAAAATATATATAAATATAATATAATATTGATAATTTGATTATAAAAATATATTTCATTAAATTTATAAAGAATATATATTATATATATTTATATATATTTAATATATATATAAATATAATATAACATATTTAATATATTATACAATAAAATATATAATATTTAATATATTTATTAATATGTATTTTTATATTAATTTTATCTTATTTAATTATAAATGTATATAAATTAAAAAAATACACATAACAAAGTAAAATAATTTTTTTAAATTACAAAATATAAAAAATCTTTTTTATAATATTTTTTTTTATTAAAATTTTATTTCAATTAAAAAACATTTATATCTGGTTATCTTAAATTTTTTAATCTTATTTTTAATTTAGTAACTATTAGTATTTTATAAAAAATAATAATTTTATTATTTAAATATAATATTTTTTTTGTAAATAATAATATTGATTTAATATATATTAATATAATAATAAATATACAATATTTATAAATTCATTATAATACTCAAAAAAAGCAAATATATAATTATAAATACTTTATAAATAAAATTTTAATTTTAGAATTAATATTATTATTTTATAAATAAAATTATTTTAATATATAATTTAATATTTAATGAGCAGCTATATAATTGCAGGTTCAGCAGATAAAGAAGAAATGGCTATAGTAAAAAACCGAATAATATCTAGTTTTTTAATATATTTTTATAAATAAATCAAAGTGTGAAAATATTCTTAATTAAATAAAATCTTTATTTTTTAACATTGACTTTAGAATAATAATTAAAGATGAATCTGAATGGAAAAACTACATTAATGAAGTAAAATAAAAATAAATTATAATATTTTTTTAATAAATTATTTATAAGATTTGCAGAATATATGGATTTAAAAAAAAACTAAATCCAATAATTTTTACTTTAGATGGATATTTAATTGGAAGTTTAGAAAATTTCAAAGAACTAGCTTTATCTAAATTCGGAATTGATAAATATGATAATTTAGTTACAAAAGAGGTTAAAATTACTACATTTTACATTAAATAAATTAAATATTTTTAAAAGATAAATATAAAACAAGTATAAAAGCAATTAAAAATAAAGAAAAATAAGGAAAAAAATAAAAAAAATTTAGAAGAAAAAATTATTGATAATTTAAAACACAATCTAGATATACAATATATAAAACCTACTTTGGGAATATTCAAACGTATAATAAACGAAGGATTATAAGTAAAAATTGATTAAATTGTATATTATATTGTAAAAAAAAGTTTTATATAAGAGAAGAACAAAAAATACAACCAAAAATTATATAACCTATCAAACAAGAAAGTAAAGTTAATAAAATAATTATAAAAAAAGGTAAAAAAAATAATATATATTTGAAATAATAGTAAATTTATATATATAAATATATAAAAAAAATACATATTTAAATATTTATATAATCAAATATATATTTAAATATATATAATATATATATATATATTTATTTATTTATGTTTTTTTTTTTTTATTTATTTAGATGATTTAGATTTATAATTTATAGCTGCAAATGATTATTTTCTGCCTGATCATTCATTATATGATGGTATTATGTTAAATTCTTTAAAAATTTGCAAATCTTAATTAAACTAAAAGTATTTAAACTAGAAAGAAATGGATTAAATTCATGATACAATTTTAAATGAATAAGAAGAAGAAATTGAATAAATTTCTAATGAAAATATTGATGAATAAGAATTATAATAAAATGAGATTTTTCAAAACTAAGAAAATCCTGAAGAACAAATGCCAAGTTATTAAATAATAGAAGATATTCTTTTAAATGAAAATGAAAAAATTGAAAAAAAACTAATTGATTTATAATAATACATGATAAAAGATGTAGAAAAATATTTTTATAAATTCATTCATTATATTATATATTTTTTAATAAAAAGCTTAAAGATAATTATTATTTATGTTTTGATCCAAATCCTTTATTTGATTCATAGATGATTATTTTTGAAAATTATGATATAAATAATAAAGAGAAACCAATGATAGCTTATTTTGATAAAAAAATAGAAAAAATAGATAAAATGGTAAAAAATATAAAAAAAATATGAAGAATTGAAAGAATTATAAGCCTAATAATAATCCATGACATTAGATTTGCCAGAACCTATAAGCTTTCCTCACAAAAGTAGATTAAATAGGGATTTTATTGATATATTTAAGCCTTTATCTAAACTTGATTTCGAAAAAATAACTAAAATATTGAAAAAAGTAGATTGTTTTATAACTTTTTAATTTCTTCCTTTTGAATATAAAGGTTATTTTGATTTATAGTAAGGTGTAATAAATGTTTTTTTAAGAAAATTAATTGCTAATGCATATAAAAACGAATGTTTAATTAAAATTTTATCAGAAAAATAAAATGAATAAGATCCATAATTTAGTTATATTTCAATTGAAAATGTAATAATTCATAATAAGTCTAAAGGATAATAAATAGATAAAAAAATTTTAAAAAGTAAATTTAATTTATATTTTTTTTTTTAAAAAAAAAAAAAAAGTTTAATGCATTGAATTTCCTCATTTAATATATTTTTATAAATGTGATTCTAAAATAAAGTTTAAAAAACTATCAAAATATTATAAAAAGATGGTTGAAATATTTATTTAAGAATTCAATTTGGATAAATTAAAAGTTGGATTTAATATCATTTTTACTAATCAATTTATGATGCTTATACCTATAATTAAACCTTATAAAATTATTGAAAGTATTCCTATATTCTAGCATCCTTTATCTTATTTAGGATATTTACTTTATCCATCTTTTTAAAACGATGATGTGAATATTAAGCCGTTTAATGATTTATTAATATAATGCTAAAAATGATAAAATATTATAAAATATTATAAAAAAAAAAAAAAAAAACTTATATTTTTTTTTAAAAAAAATTATTAATAATAAAATAAAATAATAAATATACAGATTGATAGTTATAGCTTTTATAATATATTTTATTTTAAATTTAATAATATAAATTCAATTTAATACTAAATATTGTTTATATTAAAATTCATTTATTTATATAAAAACATCCTATATAACTAAAAATCAAATTTTAAAGACTTAGTATTGACTTTATTTTTTAAAGCAATTATCTTTTTTAATTATAATTTATTTTTTAATATAAACTATAAAAATTAGTATCTTTGTTATTAATAAATATAATTTAATTATATAATTGTTTATACTATTAATTTTTTTTATAAGGGTTTTTGTTAAAATAGTGGAGATGCTCTGTATGACATTTCATATAATATAATTATGTTTAAAAATGCTAACATAATTAAATATTTTTTGTCAATTATATTGATGAAAATTTAGGATAATTATTTTTAATATATATAGGATGTTATAATAGAATAATCCATTTTAGAAATTTAAGTGTATATTATTATTTTAGAATTTATCAAATATTTATTTTAAATTAATTTAAAAAAACTTTCATATCTCGATTTTTTATTTTACAATAATAAATAATTTTTAAAAAAGAAATATATATAGAATATTTATTTAATTATTTAATATTAATAATATATTTAATTAAATAAATACATACGTATATATATATATATATATTTAAAAATCATAAAAAAAATCAGTTTCAAACATTAATTGAAACCTGATTTAATTTTTCTGTTATTAAAGTTTGTGTTTTGGCTAAGTTAGATAATACTTAAACTAATAAGACATCTTAGTTTGTTTTTTCTAAGCTTTTTTAATATTCTTATTAACCTAAATTTGGAATAAAATTCAGCAATCTTTTGATTTATTTTCCTAGATTTTCATCTGATTCGGCATTTCTATTTACAATATCTTGTACTTTCTTTTGTATGACAATCAAGTTCTAGTCTAACTCTTTTAAAAGTTATTAAACGTTTTCTGAATTTAAAAATCTTGTATTAATTTAAGATTAATTCATTTATTGAATAAACATTGGAACTAAATTACAAATAAATATATAAAATAAAATTTATAAAATTATTTACCTTCATTAAGTTTTTCTTCACTAAATTCAACATTAACTGAAATATTTTTAAAAGGTAAAATTCCACAAAATTAACATAAATCTAATTATTTATCATAAGATAAAACCTATTTTATAATATAAAAAATATATATTCATTTATACTAAAAATCACACTTTTAAATTAAAATTATTGTTTTTTAATTTAGGATCTATTGATAATATTAAAGGAGAAACTAATCCTGGCTAAGTAACGAATCCTACTTCTTTTTAACTATAAAAATTCGATAAATTAATTAAATCACTTTCTAGTCTTTCACTCTCAGTAACAAATCCTCCTAATAAACTTTCTTAAGGATAAACTGAAGAATTATGATTAAACATTATATTATGATAATTTGTATCTAAATATTGCTTTTGCTTTTTTATTGAAATTAATTTATAGATATTTTTTTTTTTTATTATACGTCTTCTTTTTATTATTTTTCAGGTACTGAATAGCAGTTTGTTATTTCTATATAAGAAGAATGTACTATTCCAAGTAAGGAGCCCATTACTTTTTATCCTTAGTTACGGTAAGATAAATTCTAATATTTGTAAGGGAACAAGTGGATGAACTTTAACTGTATTTTGGGATTATCCTAGGTTTAAATTTAATAACTCTTCACTCATATTATTTTTTTATATTAATATTTTATTTTATTTTCTTTATTTTTTAATTTTATATGCAATTTTATATCAATACATATTTAATTTAAAATAAAAGATATTTTTTTTATATATATATAAATAATATTCACAAGGATTGTAAATTTATATGTATTAGATTAATAAACATACAATAATATTTTATTAGAAAATTATTTGTATTTTATATAATCAAAAATACAATATAATTAGTTATTTTTTAGTATTTTAATATTTTCATATAAGTAGGATTTTTTCTTTTAAAAAGTTAATAAATTTATATTATTAGTTTTCTTTATTTAGTCCTAACATTTCACTATTTAAAATAAATAATTTATAAGCATCAATTATTAAATCTCTTTAAGTATTTTAATAAAGAAAATATTGAATAGATTCCAATTCTTATTTTTAGATAAGATTTTATTAATAGATAGAATTTAAATATTCTTTAATTTTCAACTAAATTATTTCTGATTCTTATTAAAATAAAATGCTTTCAATTTATTAGTTTGTTTCAGTTTCTATTTTATTAATTTTTTATTTATCAGATTTTTTATCTAATTCTTTAATTAAATGTAAAGTATTTTTATCAAAGTAATTAATTTTTTGCAAATACAAAACCCTTTTTTCAAATGCTGAATTTACTGTTTTTATGACATTGTCTAAAAATAACTAAGCTACTTATTAATATAAAATATTCTAAAATTAAAAATAAATAGTGTAATCTATTTCACATTTATTATCGTTAATAGGCTTTATATCCCATATGCTTTTTAATTCTTTAAATAAAGATATATTATTTGAATAAGAAGATATCTAATAATTATCTTTTTCAACATTACAATAAACATTAGATAAATATGAATCTTAATATATTTTAAAACCTACATATAATTAAGCCTCAAACTATTTATTATTTGTTTTTTTTGTTATTACTGATTCACTACACCATGGAAGAAATAATTTATAATTCTCTACTTCGTAAACTACTTAAAAAAAGTTTTATGCTTTAAAAGGAAAAGTAGACTTTTATTTATAATGAATGCTTCTTTTTAAAAGTAATGTAAACATTTATTTTTATAATATATATATTTTTTATATTTTAATATTTATTTTATATCAATAATAATTAAATTGTTTTTGATAAATATAATTGATTTTGTATATTTAATTATTTATATTGGTTATTTTGCCTATTTATTATTAAAATTGAATATAAATCTTGAAAAATAATAATTATAAAAAAAATTAAGAATTTAAATCATTTTTTATAAGTTTATTCATATTTTTAAAACAACAGAAATATTATGCCATAAAAATTATATTTTTATTTATAAATTTATTATAATATATGTATATATAAGATAATCTATATTATTAATTCTACAATATATGTGAGTTTTTATTTTATTAATATATTCAATTATATTTAATTTTCTATTTAGAATATAAATCAAAAAAGTATTAAAATTATAAAATTAAATTATATATATATGTTATTTATTAATAAAAAAAATATTAACTTTTTATCTTATACTTTTTTTAATTCTCTTATATAGATTATAAAGGAAAATAATAAAAAAATTTTAAGGTTTTTAAATACTTCTAATATAAATAATTAAGAATTAAACTTCCTAAAATAAAAAAGCTTAGAATATATAATTATACTATAATATTAAATAAATTATAACTAATTTAATCTTCACACATATGCCTAAAGTAAAGATTTATTTAAATCACTTGTTTTCTAAAACATTTCAATTTAGATTTCTTATTATTAAGAAGGTCCAGTTGGATTGTATTTAGACTATTCTGTTTTTGCTTTAAATCCCATTTTTCTAGGCTTAATAAGTCTGAAATCTTTTTTAAATGTAGATGCATTGTCCTTAATGACATCAAGAATATTAACTTTTTTTATAACTCCATCAATAAAAGGTTTATAACTAAAAGCTATTCCTCCAGCAATAGACATAATAACCATTTCAAAGCAAACTAAAGTGTTCTATATATATTTTTTATTATTATTATATTTATATATATTATTTTTTTAGAAAAATAACTTCTATCCCACTAATAATTCTTTATTCTTCAAAAAAAATAGAATTTTGATCAAAACATTCTAATAAATAGCTTCCAAATAATTACAAAGTAATTGTCTGCCAAAAAGTAAAAAATAAAATAATTTTTATTGTTAAGAATTTTAACAAAGGATGAAAAGGACTTAAAGGTTTTTTTAATGCATAATAAAACAAAATTAAATAATAAAGAGAATAAGTTACAGATATTGCTATAACAATCTTCATAAAAATTTCTATACCATACTTATTTATTTTTTTAATATACTTTTAATTTATATTTTATACTATAAATGGAATCGAATATTCTTAAAAAATAGCTAATATTATTAAAATTAGCGAACATATAGGTTTCAAAACAAAGCATTATAGTACGAATTTCTTGCATCTATATGTAAAGTATTTTGCTTTTGCAGTGCTTTTTAATATATAATTAAATTAATTTAAAAATATTATATATATATATATATATATATTAAAAAATGATAAATAAACCTTGTTAATTTATATGGTTTTGTACATTTATTAAATGGAAACATATGATGTATTTCTTTTTAAGATTAACACATTAATATATAAACTCTTTCATCTATAATTTATTACTATATAAATTAAAGATTTTAATTTTTTATATTTATTTTTTACTTATTCTTAATCATATGCTAAATAAGAAAAAATCAAATAAAAAAAAGTAAATAATAAAAATGCTTCATATACATCCCTAATTAATGTTAAATATATTTCTGCTTCCTTAGCATTTAAATTTTATTTTTAATATAAATTTATAAATTATTGTGTATATTAAAATAATAATCGATATTTATAGAGTATAACTTTTAGTTTAATATTTATTAATATTTATTTTTAATATATTAAGTTTATTACATTAAAAATAATAGAAGACATAGAAATTGTTGCGTAAAATGGAGCCATAAGTAATATTACTATAAATATTTTTAAACAAAAAATTATTAAGTTTTTACTAATAATTTTTGATTAAAAATGAGGATTTGTAAAATGTTAAAAGTGTCTTAATATATAATAAAAAGAAAATATTAGAGATATAAACATTAATATTCCTGCTATTCCAAAATTATATTAATAACTTTATTCTAAACAAAAAGAATCACATTTAAAATAAAAAGGGCAAAACTTTTCACCTAAATTATCTAAATTTTGTTAAAAGTTTTGATGTTAAAAATTGGTAAAATTATTCATTTTATTTATTTATATAAAAAATAATTATTAATATTTATAAATATTTATTAAATTAATTATTTATTTATTTATTATTTTATTTATATTTATTTATTTATTTATTTTTATTTATGTTTTTTTTTATATATTTTACTATATTTTTTTATAAAATATTTAGATTTTAATATTTTATAATTTTATTTCTTGTTTAATTTTTTTATTTAAATTAATTATTTATATATATAATTTTATTTTACTTTTAATGCATAAAATATATAATTTTTATTTATCTATTTATCTAATTTTAATTTATATATATATATATATTTTATTTTATTTTTATGCACATAAAATTTACTTTTTGTTTAACTTCATTCTTTTTTATTTTAAATTAAAAGAATTTTATTTATTTTAAAATATTT